GTTGAGAAAGATTGTGACTCTGTTTTTACGATCATATAGAAACCAGGCTGTAGAAAACAAAACAGCAGCATATGACATACATGAATTAAGTCTAAATTGTGAGAGCGACATGAAAAAGGTAGACTAAATAAGAATGAAATTCAAGCAACAATGTATATGGTAACATTTTTAGGCGTCGATATTCTTGTTTTGAAAATCAGACATCATTATGGATGATTAGTGAAAGCTAAACAATGCTCCTCAATCCTAGTTTGTTGCTTACTGACAAATATTTAGTCCTATATAGCATGCGAGACAGGGGCGTAGGAACCGGGGGGGACCAGGCCCCCAATTTTTGCCAAGTGCCCTTTTTCCTCGAGCATATAGTGCCCTTTTCTTGCGTGAAAATGTCATTAAGATTGCATTTTTTGCCCAAAGGGCACTTTTGAAAACTTGATCTTTGATTGAGATGACCTCCCCTTCCTCCGTCGCCAACATTTCCGGGAAAAAATTCAAAAGTGCCCCTCAAAGCCTCCCCCCTCCAACTTTTAGAAGATTCCTACGCCCCTAATGCGAGACTACACTCTGCGTCAGCAAAGCATCAAACAAAAATAATGTCTTCAGTTCATGTTTCTTGAGCTTCTTCCCGCATTACTTTACAACGAACACGAAATTATTCTTCTACAATAAAGTAAATAAAATGTCTTGCGATAGTTCGGCAAACGTGCGATATATATGAAGTGATTCACTGTAAAATTACAATAATACAACAAATAACATATAGTCAGAATGATTTGAGTAGCAAACGGGTCTTTCAGTAAACCTGGCCGCCAGATTGCCACTTGATAAAATACCAAGAGAGGGACCATAAAAACAACGGTTATGCAAGCGATGACAATAATTGTCGTTAAAAATTTCTTTTCTTCGAAGACACGCACTGCATGAGCGCGACTGTTTTTGTCGGACGAATTATTTAAGACAATATTATGAATCTGTTTTTGCAGTTTACAATACGTTAAAGCATACATGGCAGCCGAAAATAGGATCAATGTCAGTCCAACAAAGTTGACAATTAGGTTATCGTATCTTTCACTTCCAAAAGCAAGCCATTTCGCAGGAAAAGTGAAACCATAGTTTTCCCTTTCATGATTTCATCCAATAGCGGTGATGCAATGGATAGACAACCATGAGAAAACAGTCAACGGAAATTGAAACTATATACTTGTATAAGACACGGCAGGAAATGTACGCCAAAGAAAACCGTCAATTTGAGACCAGCTCGTGTCGTTTACAAAGGTTTTGATGATTTCCTTAAATGTAGCAAGTAAACATACATGAGTCCAAATCCGAAACTGCTAGGTTTCCGACAAGATATGTGCCCGAGTTCTTGAAACATTTTAATGGATCGTTGAGCAGGGCAATCAATAGTAGAAGATGCATGAAAACGCCAACAGGACTGATAGCAAGTTTAACAATGAATATACTATAGTCGTTCTGCCCCGCCATACTTGACAAATGTTTTCCGTCATTTGTGTCGTTAAATTTAGAATACATGCAGTATTCATTTCCTATAGCTAAACTACAGGTTATGACGGGAAATTAATTATTAAATACAATATTTTGAAAACAAAGCCATGAAATATTAATTGGAAATATTATTACTATATATATTATAGAATGATAAGCGCTTTAGTTATTATTGACCCTTATAATTGCGTATTAATTTTATGGGGGAAAATCTTACACCTGTGACAGACGTTACGGATTTGGGATTTTTGGGTATATGCTTTTGGATTCTCATCTACCGTACGACAAACATATACAATCCGATTGTCCTCATCGTGTATCTCAAAATTGCGTCAGATTGGTCGCGAGAAACACAACTTTGATCAGGCAACACTAGCTACAATCATCGATAAATGAGTCATGAGTAAAATTAACTATTGTTCAACAGTATGGTCTAATACGTCAGACAGCAATATCAAAAAAATTCAATTAATCCAAAATAATTGTGCCGCCCGGTTAATCACAGGGGTGCCTAAGTATGATCATATATCTCCGACATTAAATGCGTTAGGACGGTTGTCAATCAAAGAACATCTATTGTACAGAGATGCGTTATTAACATTTAAATGCATGAATGACAAAACTCCACAGTATTTATGTGGTGCCACAAGAATATAGTACATAAAAGACAGTCACAGTAACTATTTACATATGTTTATGAATCTATATACAAGAGGAATCACTATATTGCATGCAATTTCCAGTGGTAGCGAGGCGACCTCAAGAAACCATATAAGGCTTATAAGAAGAGGTCACCTTGTGTTATTACTTATGAATAGTTGTAGATAGTTTTAATAAGACAAGATAATTACAAGAAGATATACAACAATTTACATTAGATAAACGCAGATGTGAAAGATGACCAGTTCAGACAAGCTTAATTTAACAGCAGATCGTTCATTCTTTTCTTGAAACATGACAAACTGTTAGAAATCTTTACATTAACAAGAAGGGAATTCCAAATTTTTGGACCTTGGTACAATACTGAAAATTGTTTAATGTTGGTTCGACAAAAATGGGTTCTATAATTAGCAGTAGATCTAGTATTATAATTCTGCACCTGGCTGTTTGTTACGAATAAGTTTCGAAAAGACAAAGGCAATAATGCATGATGATAAAAAAACATGAATTTGGCTATGTAAAATATGAGTTTACTTCAAAAATATCAAGTATTCGAAGGCGAGCAAATAAGGGGGCTGTATGAGCTAAAAAGTCTGAATTTGTCATCGCTCGCACGACACGTTTTTGCAAAAGAAATATCCTATTTAAGGTTGTAATATAAGTAGATGACCATGCAACGTTACAGTAACAAAGGTAAGGGTACATTAGTGAATAATATACCGGTAACGATAACTTAGTTTTAGCAGATATAATAAGAAACGAGATTTGTAAATTATTTCAACTGATTTTGCAATTTTGTTACATACATGACCAATGTGGGATTTCCAATTTAGATTTTCATCAATATAAACACCCAGAAATTTTGTTGTATCTGCGCGCTTAAGTAGCTGATCGTCAAAATAAAGATGTGTATTTCTGTGTATTTTTTTCTGTTTGTGTTTGAAAATAATATAATTTGCGTCCTTTGTGTTAATTGAGAGCTTATTACATTTCATCCAGATGTCAATATTGTTTAACTCTTCATTCAAGACATGCATGAGAATAAAAGATATCATCAGCAAAGAGGAGTGATTTGGTTACTTTTGAAGCCTTAGCAAGGTCGTAAATGTAAACAATGGAAAATAAAGGGCCAAAAATAGAACCTTGAGGTACACCACATTTAATAGTTAGCATTGAAGATTGGGTTTCATTAAATTGCACAAACTGTGGGCGTTTGGAAAAATAACTTTTGATCCATTGTAAGGCTGTGCCACGTATCCCATAATGTTCCAATTTAGCAAACAAAATATCGTGATTTATAGTGTCAAATGCCTTTGATAAGTCAAAAATATCGCGGCTGTAATTTCGTTTCTGTCAATAGAAGATGCTATTTTATTAACCAGGTGAATTAATGCGTGCGAGGTAGAATGATTTTTTGGAAAGCCAATATGTTGACGATAGAGAATCTCATACTGCTCCAGAATTCTATTAAACGATTATGCGATACTTTTTCAAAAAATTTCGCAAAATTTGAAAGAAGTGATATTGGCGTATAATTAGTAAGTTTTTCAGGATCTTCCTCTTTATATATGGAGACAATTTTACTATTTTCAATTTGTCCGGAAATACCCCTTTGGCAAATGAAAGGTTAATGATATCCTTCAATGGTACCGATATTAAACTAAAAGAACACTTTATCACATGCATTGACAAATTGTCATAACCTGGCGCCTTCTGAGATTTAAAATTCAGGCGAATTTCTTCTAGTTCAGCTGTACTAGTGGGTTTCAAAACATTCATGGAATCATTTGTGTTGTCAGTCAAAAATAAAGAAAAGGAAGTATTATTGGTCATGGGTATTTTATTTGCCAAATTTGGTCCGATGTTGGTAAAATATTTGCAAAATCCATTAGCAATGTCCAGTGGATCCGAAGTTAATTTATCACCAAATCAGTTAATTTTAGAAGTCTGGAATGACTATTTCCCGCGGCATAATACTCAAAATTGTGTGATTTTATAATAGCGAAAAATTTTTGATACTTTTTTTATAAAAAAAATTGTAACTTTTTGAAATCCATGGCCATGCATTTTTTATCATATCTATATATTTTTCAACTTAGCTGAAAATTTAGCTAAATATAGTCAAGTCACGAAAAAGGAAAACATCATTCACTTGATCAACATATAATCAACAATTGATGATTCCCCTTATTACGTTTTCGTAGCGCTTTGCATTGTGGTTACAGTGGTATCACTGATATTCAAGATGGCTTATTTTTTCCTGCCCGTGCAAGAACTTTTTAAAAAAGCTAGGGTCAGTTGCGCGAGAGCTAACAGCAAAATATTCGCGAAAACATTCAATATTTTCATTCGAGACCGCTATCTTTATCAGTGATACTAGTGATACCACTATAACCACAATGCAAAGCGCCACGAAAACGTAATAAGGGGAATCATCAATTGCGTAACTATTGTACTGTTGAACACGGCGTTTTATACACTATATAACGCGCTACGGCCAGCAATACGTTTGTTAGTAATGTGTTAAACTTATGGACTGGTATCAAGTACAGACCACTACACCTGGCACTCTGAATATAATTTGGTACGCTATGTAGCCTATGAGGCTATGGCTGAAATTACGTAACATCGATCTAGGAATTAGGGTTTAATACACAGTGATTGTAAATATAAGCGGTTTCTCTCGTAATTATAAGCGGTGTGGAACACAATGGGTCAATATCTATATATTAGTACATACCGATTTTTCCTAAAATCATTCAACTTTACATTCTCGAGGACATCGTTGCTTGCTTTTGCTTGATATTCAATGCCGCCGTTGTAAACTGGCTCCATTAATTCTGGGTTTTTTTCTCAATACTCCCAGCTTTTTCTTCAACCTCGTGTTTAAGGGAAAGGATTTCCTCGTCGTTTCCATTGGAGATTATATTCTTGACAAAATCCAGCGAGCTTTTCGTTTTTGCCTGCAAGTAAGCTTTCACGTCGGCTTGATGTTTCACCAGGGGCGCGCTAGCTTCGTTGTATTTCATGTCAACCTGGTCAAGCAAGACTGCCGTGTCATCCTCGAGCTTCTTGGTGAATGCACTCAGGATTTCCTGTTGTTGCTGCATGGTGGCATCTTTGGCTTTCACTTTGTTGTTCTTCAGGGCCACAATATAGCATGTTCTATCTTCAGATTGCTTTGAGCAGCTTCGTTCATTTTCTGCTCGAAGATGGCGGACGATGTCTTCAACGCTTCCTTGTGCTGTCCAACAACGTCTGCCAAAGGGAACCACATATGTTCAGGGCTATATATGTGATTCACATCAGCGCAGTATCGACAAACAAGGACTTTGCATGTTTCGCAGTAAAACTTGAGAACTTTATCGTGTTTCTCACAACGAGGATTGCCTCTTGCTTTCGCTCGGTTTTCTGGCTTTGCCAATTCTTCCAACGTCAACACGAAGGCAGGCCAGTTGTTGTGGGCTTCTAAACATTTTCCACACAAGTAATTCTCACACGTTACACATCTGCTGGTGGCAGGATCTTTGGCTTTACAAGACTGGCAATTAATACGCTGGACTTATTGCTGTAGAGTATGTAATTCCAGCACTGTGTTGTTAACAAAGTGGTTTGATGAAATTTTCTCGACTGCTTTCTCCTTCTTAGTGACGTGAAACTCGGTTCGGCAAACTCGGTTCGGCATACATACATTCATTCTTATACTGCTTTGAGCTTGGAATGTTAATCCGCTATGGTTTCTTATAGTTCTATTTTGGTACTGTAGCAAAATCAGTGAAAGCGAAATGTGAAAGCTTATACTGATATTCTACCAAGATATGCCTTTCAATGCAAACGTCATTAAATATCTGTTATTTCATTGGCTATAGACATGACACGTATAGAGTTTGTTTCCTTTGCAATAATTCCTCGAATTCGAGTTAAACATATAATAACCAGTTGTTTCATGGATAATTCTGCTACGCTTTGTTTACGTCGATTCATAAATACTCAAGAAAGCATTCTTGCTGCTTTTACTCCATCGATCCTGCTGTTTTGTGCTTATAACTTTGGTGTTATGAAATCAGTGTGCAATAGATATATGTTGTATTTAAATGTGGCATTTCCTTCATGAATATATTATGTTTTTTATAGTATTGCTATGCTTTCACAGTAATTTTCACGTATCACTATATCATAGCACATTGATTGCTGTTTTAGTCGTAAACTGTTTGTGCCAGTGTACAGGTAGTGCCAACTGAATAACAATAACAAGCTTTCGTTGGTTTAGCGATGCGACTACCTGGAATATACAGGGTGTCTCAAAAAAACGCTACGGAAATTCAACAGGCTGTTGTGCATCACAAACTTAACTAAACAATTCAATTTTAACATAGGACGAAAGAGCTGTTATTTAGCTTTGCTATGATACCTCTCTTAAACCGTGACGATGCGAAATGGCCACATACTCGTCAAATAAAAATTGCCGGTCGAAATCACATTCTTCCACCGTTGGGAACTGCATGGAAAACGAAACTTAAACAATTCCCAAGAGGGAATTAAAATTGAATGTTAAGCTCAACTATTCAATTTTTGTCTTATTGAGACCATAAGAACGTCCATTATTGCATTAAACATGGTTCAATTAACCACTTAACAGAGAACATTTGTAATCAAAACGTTTTACGAAACAAGAACCTTGCAGCAGGCTCCCGTTGCTTTTGGATTGATCAACTTTGCATATGATTAATGTATTTTCAATTTCCCAACGGTGGAAGAATGTGATTTCGACCGACAATATTTATTTGACGAGTATGTGGCCATTTCGCATCGTCACGGTTTAAGAAAGGTATCATAGAAAAGCTAAATAACAGCTCTTTCGTCCTATGTAAAAATTGAATTGTTTAGTTAAGTTTGTGACGCACAACAGCCTGTTGAATTTCTGTAGCGTTAGACACCCTGTATAAGCAGAATTTCGACGTTTTGAGCGAAGGCCCTTTGTTCGTACCATACTTTTACTCTGTGCCCTACTATTACTGCTAGCGCTACCCTTTGTGCCCTACAATTACTGTTACCCTTATGTTCGTACTCTACTATTACTGTTACCCTTTGTACCCTACTATTACTAACACCATCCTGCAACGTCGATGAACGTCCGCGAACTCGTTTTCAATTGAAAAGCGATTCTATATATATACGTGACTCATGCATAACTACATACTAAAATTGAATACTACATAGAGGGCCCCCTATACCTCTTCATAATATGCTTTCACGTAAAAATATTTTGCCTTTTCACGAGTCACGGATTAAGAAAATCATCGATCACGTTTCACGGCTAAGTAAAATAAGCCCTTCACGCTTCACGCTTCACGCAAAAATTATAGGGGGGCCGATCACGTTTCACGGCTAAGTAAAATAAGCCCTTCACGCTTCACGCAAAAAGTATAGCGGGCCCTCTACATACTGTGCTCCAGTTTAGTTTTAGCTCAAAATACACCTTGCAAAAACTCACGCCCTTCCAAAGATAATCCAATTTACTGGACATGGTTTAATGCAGGCATTATTCAAACGTGGCGATTAACTTTGATGACGATTATGCATGTGCTATATACAATTGGTGGGAGTATGGTTTTGAGCCAAAATTATTTGTGTCAAAATTGGGAGGGCATCTTTCTCCCCCCCCCCCCCTCCAAGGAAACTACTACTACTACGCATTATATACCCACTTCCCTCGTTTGCAAATAAGGATTAATAATGAACGGCGACAAACAAAAATATTGCCTATGATCAAGTACATCTCAGTTCACGAGCAATAAGAGGATTAAAGTAACTCGCTACTACAACGCATTATATACCTACTTCCCTCGTTTGCATATAATGATTAATAATTTATTAATAATTATTAGAATATCTTGTGATGCAGTGAAATTTAAATTATATTCATCCAAGTTTGTCCAAAGTTGAAAGTTCGTTCTGTTCTTCTGCAGACTCTCAAGTGAAATTCTATATCCGCGTGACTATCCCAGCATGCCAAATACTGAGAAGTTGTTGCCTAAATCAATCGTGTCTCAACTCTGTGGCTATAGTCGCGATTTATGTATTATTGTTATTCCACGTTTAGCGGGTATGGTATTCGCTTAAAACTTTTTCACCAAATTTATGCCGCATGGGATAATTTATTAACCAAAGAAAAATGTCATTTGTGTCGCAGCCAATCATATTGTTCACTATCTTCAGACTAGGATGACCAATCGGAAGCTAGCGCGGAATCCTGCAAGTACGTACATAGACTGCGAGCAATCCCTAATAAATAGAGGGATTGCCGCTTTAACTAATTGCCAAGCGTGTTTGATTAAGCTCCGCCTACTTGTTTATATTTCAAAACAGGGTCAAAAACATCTCTTGAAAGGCGCGATCTCGAATGACTCAATTCGCTTAGTGTAAAACCATCAAACAACGTGTATTTAAATTCTCAAATTTCAGTTTGGCAAGTATGAATATTCATAATCAGAATTTGTCTGGCAGGAAAACGTATAAAGCAAGGCAAGGGGTCTTAGGGTTTATTGAAGGGTCTATTCTATAGACTGTGACTTTCTGCGTCAATATTTTGATATATATTAATAGTTTACAGAAATAAAAAATTACCAACTTAATACAGCTATTCAGCTGAATTAATACATGGTTAAGATTTACAAGGAGTGTTTGTAATTTACGTCAGTTAAAACGTGCGAATGTACCCGCTGCTGAGATGATTTGTTTATTGTATCCGACCGAGATAGTAGAATATGCATCGCCCGTTTTTCATTACGGAATCCCAAATTACCTGAGTAAAGACATTGAACGGACACAGAAATCATTGAAGATCCAAATCACAAACTTCGCGGCACTATTGCCGGATTTGAACTCGATTCACTCAAATACTGCACTGTCTGCACATTAATCCCTGAGGACTTTCCAATAATTAAGACTAATAGATGATACATGAACACATTCAATTCATAATCGCAAGTTCTACATGTAAACGTTTTAATTCATAGTTCATAGTTTTAGCATTTGTATACGTACATTTGCATGTTTCCAATTTTCAAGTTTAAATTTTAAGCTTTGTAAACATAGAGGCATAGATCTAGAGGTTTAGTTTATATAAAAAATACAATCTTTTAGATACATTGATACTGTCAACATGACTATCCATTTAAGATCAAAACAATACATACAATATACAATACATACATACATATTTTAATACAAAGACATACAATATTATAATAAACCCAAAATCCATAAACTCACCAAGTCACCATGTATTAATTAGCCTAACTGCCATTTAATCAACGACTATGAGGGACAGTTCGTTTCTGAATGGCGAGCTTTTATTCTTCAACAAGGCAACAAATTCAGGAGACAAAGGCTCAATTTAAGCTTCATCAGCAGACGCATACACAAATATCTGAAAATTGGTTTCCTTGATCCCACTATAAGAATGGCCGAGTTAATATTTCCAAAAGCGATCATCCTTAATGCAAAGTCGTTGGACCGTAACTGTTCATCAATAATGCTACGAACAGGAACAATTTAAATACTATAATACTAGTTGGGCTTGAACAAACCCTTCGAATATCTTCAGCCAACAGGAAACTCTTTCCAAACCCCGTAGGAAGGACAGCTAGAACATCTCCACCTTCAAGTAGGCACCCTATTGCAAGCGTTTGTTTCTGTAAGCTCGTTGTAAGACTTTCAACTACATACGTATCAATTTTCGTTGCTTCCCGCTGCCAGATAGACATTAATTTCGGCAAATGTCTGTTTACAGTATAAAGCCAGCTGAGTGATGGGTTTTAATGTTATCAGAATATTTATTGTTTTTTAACCAATCAGAATTTCCCGTTGTCTGTGCAACGGGAAAATCAAACACGCTTGGCAATTAGTTAAGGCGGCAATCCCTCTATTTTTCCTCTCGTCTCCGCCCCTTTTTGCCATTTTCCCGCGCGTTCAATCTTAGTCCGGGAAACAATAAAACGAAGAAAAATAGAGGGATTGCTCGCAGTCTAGTACGTACACAAACTGTATTTCTCATGAACCGCGTAGTATTGAAAAGGGTAAGGGTAAGCGTAGAATCGTTCCTCCTGGCATAAAATTGATCTATACTAGCATATTTTCACGATGCCTGGATCACAAAGATTTGAGAGAAGGTAAGACTTAACGTTGCATGCATTTTGTCGTATTTTGGAGATTTTTCAAAATTTTTCGAATGATTATTTATTATATAATAATACTGTATATATATAATAACATTGGCATGATGCACGTAGCATAAAGCGATTGACTATCTGGAATCGATAAAACAATGTAGAATTATTAATAACATGGCGACATTCAATGACGGCATGTTTTGACTCTTGTGTTGATTATTTATTACGATTTATATGATAATGTTTCAATATACCCGAATTATCGATTAACGAGGAGATTGGTTATCGTATATAGGCTAGTA